ACAAGCAACTAGGGAAAGATGATGAACTTCAGCACATTACTTGGGATTTACACTGAGGCATGTGCACATAGCAACCACCTACCGTGTGCCGTAAAACCTAAGCTATGCTGAAAAAAATGCACATTGCATGGCAAGAGTGAAAACAAATAATTTAAACCTAGAATGCTATTTTTGCTCACCCTGGGCCTCAAACAACAACAGCAACAAAAAACCTAAAGGAATGCTTTGAAAGGGTGTGAGATAACATAAAGACTAACTCCTTTTGAGATCATCCGTAGCAGAGATTAAACCCGTCGCTCATTTCGTCATCAAATCATACGTAAACGCAGGACATATTTCAGAGTGTGCAGGATTTCTCATGCACATCAAAACCATCCACTGACTGGCACGACCGAACAAAGCTCGATTTGGAAGAAACTCCTGCCCTGCTGATTTCTATCAGTAACAGCTACAGGCTGCACCGTTATGCCAGAAAGAGCTACACAACCTGTAGCAACTTGGCAGGCAGCTTGTTGGGTTGGGATACAGGCGGGGCCCCCGTCAATGCAAAAACACAAAAGAAGAATGATTAGAACATGGAGCCATCTGCACACCCGTTCATCCTTTGATATCAGAAGGATCTCTTGTTGCAGATTGGACCGTGTGCATCCTGCAGAGTCTGAGCAAGACAGCAAGAGCAAAAGGGAAACTCTGGATCTTTGGTTCTTGAATTAATTTACACATTTTGGTGAAATTAATAAGGATCCATCTGTTGGACACGATTAGAAACTCTCTCTACCTTCTAAACCTATAGAATTTGCTGGGTGATGCTTTCTGAAGCAGATACCAATTTTAAGTAGCAAGATGAACTTCGAATGCTGAATTTTACATCCAGATTTCTAATTTGTATCTTTGAAATATGGTACCACCTTACACTGAGGCCCTCCTATGTGATTTATTAACACCTCAGCGGTAGTTTAGCAATCAGTCTGTGAACCCTTTATAAAGCATGACGTTTTTAACTGAACTGTGTATGTGCTGAAGTAAGTGTGGTATTTGAAACAGGTCACCTGTTGTCATTTTTATTTAATGCATAAAAACAGATTATTGTGCACTTTGAGCCAAAGTGGGAGTAAAAAAAAAATCCATTTTGCAAGAAGGTGCAGCATATTTTTAGCTTTAAGAAGAATGTAACAAATCATCTTAACAAAGTGACGGTGTGTGTTTTCACTGGCGATTGGGGGCAGTACGTTCCTAAATCATTGCAAGCAAACAGTAATTTGGTTTTCGAGTAAAACCTGACCAACAAATGACCATTACGGTCAAACATTCATTGCAGCCATGGATGTAGTTTTGCACAGTTTTCCAAAGTCAATTTTTGTCCGCTGCACTTTTTACCATCCAAAAACAAAATTAGGCTATATTAAATAGACACTGGTTGAGTGTGTCTCCCCCTACTTCTAAAGTTAAAACTACATCCATGCTTGCAGCACAATTTTTGAACGAGTACTTCCTCAGATCATTCAGCCTCCAGCAAAATGACAAGCACACCAGACTCCCTTTCATCACTGGAAACAAGCGAAGAGGTAAATGTGTAAAACAACAATATTTATGAATAGCAAAAGTTTTGTAACCGATTGTTAGAAATCAGTAAAATCATTTTGTCCTCACAGGCTCCCGTAGAAGGAAGAATGACTTCTAAAATGGCGTTGCCCAGAGACCCGTGCATTTTAGACCCGATTTTTATGGTTCTATGTTACAATGCAGTCAATATTTTTAACCAACTGGGCATCATTTATTCATTTTCTACATTTCAATGGATATTTACAGATATTAATGGTAAAAACCACACATTGTTACTTCCACCCATCAATATTCAGAACCTGCTTGTCCATGTAGGGTCGCGGGGGGGCTGGTGCCTATCTCCAGCGGTCAATCAGGCGGGGTACATCTTGGACAGAGTGCCAGTCCATCGCAGGACAACACAGAGACACACAGGACTAACAATCAGACACACACACACTCACACACACACCATTCAACCTAACAGTCATGTTTTTGGACTGTGCGAGGAAGCCGGAGTACCCGGAGAGAACCCACGCATGCACAGGGAGAAAATGCAAACTCCATGCAGAAAGATCCCAGGCCGGGAAGCAAACCCAGGAACTTCTTGCTGCAAGGCAACAGCTCTAACCACTGCTCCACTGCACAGCCCACATTGTTGCTTTAATAATAATAATATTCTAGTTAGAAAAATTTACATTTTAAATATTTTATTTTGCTATGTAAAAATCTAAGAACATACAATATATGAACAAGACTGGCTCTGCTACCTGTAGATCCTCCACTAGAGGACAGTAGACACACCTAGGATTGGAAATAAAAGGGTTTTGATGAAGGTACTAATCCTGCCACCAAATCTGGATGTTAAAGCCAGAAGCAAATTGATGCAGATTTGCAGGAGGTCTACAAGTGGTTAAATTATTAATTCAAAGCAAAGCAAAATGTAAGTACATTTTATTTATATAGCACTCATCACACAGAAAATCCCAAAGTGCTTCACATAAAAAATGGTCAAAATTATGAAAAGAACAACTTTTGTAACATTTATGAGTTTTATGTAAAATTCACTTTTACATCAAAAGTGGTTCTTTTTTATTTTATGTTATTTTTCATAATCAAATTGCTCAGAATGCTCAGTCCAATCACTTTGAGTGTCAAAAGTCTTGAAAGTGTCTGATAGTGAAAACACTTGAAATAACAAAACAGATGCAGAGGTATCACTGTTCAGCAGTGGCTCATCTAACAGCGCCCAGCTCTGATATTTTTATTTTGTGCACGGAGGATTTAAAAGAAGGCAAACGTTAGTGGAAACAGAGGCAAAACATGACTATTATCCAACTCCTCTCAGGGGTTGTCCTGCTTCTGTCACTCTAATGAGAAGAAAACAAACAGTAATGGTAGCCTAGTGTGTGTGGACTCTATATTGTGCAGTGCTCTCTTGTCTCGTATCTGTGGCAGTCACTTAGAGGGAGTGAGTCAGTGTGTTTACAGTCTTCACAGATGGAGCTTTGACACTGTCTGGATAACTGAGATGAATGACTCTCAGAGCTGCTCAGCAGATGGGAAAAGAACCAGCCAGTAATGCCCGTGCACACAGATCTACTGTGTGTGTGTGTGTGTGTGTGTGTGTACGCTCGTACATGCCTGTACATTCATGGACATGCAGGAATGAGAAAGAGGAAAATATACACTTGCTGCAGATGAGCAAAAATGTATCATCTGCTCTTTCTGGGCTCCGGTTAGTTTCTACTTGGCACCGACTCTGGATCAACACCTTCTAAAATAAAATAGACTGTGAACTGTTAGAAATGAAGCACTTTATCAACAGTTTGTTCTTAATCACAGCAGCACTGAAACAGCTACACGTTTGTTTTCTATAGATTTCTGCTGCTGGTTGCCTCAATGTGGCCACAGACTCAAACCGGAGCAGGAACCGGTCACCTGTGATCAACAGAAGCAAACACGAGACAAAACAAACCCTGGTAGGATGTTTTCTTACTTGTAATTACATTTGATCAGCCATTGCATCTTTTTATAGATGTGTTGTAATTTTAAGTTGTAATCCACCAGGTTATGGAAAAAGGAAAGGTCAGAGTTCAGTGGAGGTTTTCTCTCAGCAGGTGGGAGGAAATCTGCTACTCCTCCCCTCTTGGAGGGACCCCAGTAGTCTGAATAAATGCTGCCCTCAAGTGGACAAAACTGGTTTGAGTCTAGAAAGGACACTGATTAAAGTTTGAATATTTTACTTTCTGTTTAGAGGTTCAGAATAGAAGCAGTCCAGGTCAGAAAACTGAATGTAAAATAATTTTAAATAATCTTTTTTATTTTTATTTTTTATACAAAAGTCAAATAAAAAGGAAAACAAATATATTTTTCAATGATCCATTACTTGCTCATCAAATGTTCTCATCACAATAATATTATCCTATTGGTTGGAGCTGAGTTGTGGCAAACAGGTCCAGGCTTACTACCGCATGTTGTGAAATGACTGACTGAACGTTATCGTGATTAAAGGTGTAGTTGGCTGAAAAAACACTTTTTAATCACTTTTTCCTGATTATAATCGGTCACTTTGAGTTTTTCATGATGACCGAGCATGATTTTTCTGCTTTAGCTTTGGACGCTGAAACTCTAGGATTTAAAAAGCCTCACAGATTTACGTCACACTGAATTACCATTCATGGACTCACTCACCTCGACTCGCGTCAAGGAAGGCTGTTGTTGGATAAGCGTCCAGGAAACAGCAGAGAATGTCTTTGCTAGTTTAAGCTAACCATTAGCATTAGCAACTTCACCACACATCAGAAGCTCCTCCAGGCTTGTGGTATTAGTGGAGATAAAACATCCACGTTGCGAGTCAGAGGTAAGAGTCTCGTTGCAGTTATCCAATCTGAGGCGAGATATCTAAAAATCAGAAAATAAAACTTCAAAACCTGCCGTCTGAAGCTCAGCTGTGATGTGGCTATTTTCTAGTTCCTAGAAATGGTGCGAGAACGACTTACAAGGCATTCATTTCTACTTGAGACCACTTCACATGTATTGATTAAATGGGTTTTACAACTTGAACTATCTTAACAGCCCCTTATTAGCACATAAACACACTGATAATTGTGTCTAGTTTAATTTTCATCATTTATGGCAGGTTATTTTTCCAAATTCAGGGGTAAAAGATGACTTCAAATGAAACAATTTCCATAATCTGAAACTTAAAACTGGGAAATTTGGAATGAAACAAGAACAAAGTCGTATAATTATTGTCTAGGTTTACTCAACGGATCATTACCTCAATGCTCCCACACTTTTTTAACATTAGATGCCCACTGCTCCTGAGGAACTGAGATCACACAAAGTGGGGACAGTCACGTGTCACTCTTACTGCTCCAAATCATGGAGATGTCAGAACAATCACAAGAAAAGTCAGATTTTCCAAAAGCACAAACATCAGCACACACTTCCTATAAAAACCCATTTCAAATATAATTTATTGCACATTTAAAGATCAACAGAAAGTGACACGATACCTATTTTAATCCTGTTACATGAGAACCAAAGAAAAAATGATGGAAGAAGTCCCTACAAAATGTGCACACCTTGTTTTATGATCTTTTTCTTGAATTTTAGAACAAAATGGCCATGACGTTGCAGGAATGCAAGACTGAGACTGCATAGATTTTTTTTAAAAAAAGGAGATGCTCCTTTACATATGGCCACAGAAAATCCAATCTGACCTCAGCGTGACTCATGCTCGTCATCAGCCTGATTATTTCAACGCCGTCCCTGTGACTTACAGGTGGCTCCGAGTGTCTGGACAAACAGGGTTGTTTCCATTCTAAAAACACAAACGTAATAAAATATTCTTGCACAGATATGCATTTATCGCAAGCCTGATTCTGAATTGTCTGTTGCAGATATAGAAGTTTCAAATGCAATATAATTTCACATGATCAAAAATAGAAAAACTTTTTTTTTCCAGCCCTGTTTGCAGAAACGAGTCATTAAGAGGGGAAACTGGCGTGCTTTACTGTAAAAACCCGAAAACGGAGGTGCAATGCAACAAAAGCTGTACAAATAAACAAAATATATGATAGTCACAGTCATTCGTTTAAGATATTTACATCTTTGACCTCAGTGTTCGCGTCATACACATCCATTTTCTGTGATTTCAGAACCAAACATATTCCATCATCTGGAGGATTTCTGTTTCCTTTTCATTTTTAATGTTGGTGGACGGAGACGACCATCTCTTATTGCTGCATGACTCGTACCGTGAGAACAGCTAAACAAAACCACCCAAAACGCTCGCTCTCTCACACACACACACACACACACACACACACACACACACACACACACACACACACACACACACACACACACACACACACACACACACACACACACACACACACACACACACACACACACACACACACACACACACACACACACACACACACACACACACACACACACACACACACACACACACACCTCTTCAAGGAAACAAACCTGGTTGAAAAACAAGCTACAGTACGTACAGTAGGACAGCAAGTAAAAATCAGGAAAATAATCAGAATTTAATGGCACTGAGAAAACTGTATTTGATCCCCGTGTGTCACCTGTAAACGCACACAAATCCATCTACAGCACAGCATTAACAGAAGCCAGCTAATGGTCAAAAGAACAGCACAAAAGCATGCTAATTAGCATCCAAACCAACTCAGAATAAAGTCAAACACAGCTGGGTTACCTGATCAGAAGGGCTCCCTATTTGCATAATCAGTCCAGTTTCATCACATACATGTTTACTGAGGAAATTTAAATCAGCAGCTCGGAGTAAAATGCTTATTTACATGGTTAGAAATAAAGAAATGAGCGTTTGGCACAAAACAGAAAAGTTAGCGATTAACAGATGAGACGAGTGACTGGACAGCGGGGCTGCAAAGGATTTCTCGTTTGAACGTGTTTTGCAATCAACTGCTTAATCTGTAAAACCTTTTTGACTGTTATATTCCATGCATTCATGCTTTGTGTGAAAAGAATATATTCGGCCAATCAGATGGACTCTAGATAGTAGAGATGCTAAAACACATATTTTAAACACTGTAAATGAAGAAAAAGAGGCAAATGTAGCTAATGTGTTAAACAACAAAATCCCATGTTGTTTTCTGATATCATGCTGCCCTACCTGGTATCTTATGTTACATAAGTGTTTTATGGAAATTACACCAGTTTATGCTTCAGAGACTTTACTAAAATTGATCTTTAGTGCAGCGGAGACAGAGCTGATCATAATTTTCCAGATAAGCCAAGGTTAATCAATACAGCAACGCATTCAGACTCTACCTGCATCAAAATCATTTTTAATGAGGGGTTGGATCCAACGTGGAGAGAAAGGCCTCCGATTACCTCATTTTCAGCATCGCTGAATAGATCCTGGCACTGCAGTGATTGTGAGTTACCTTCTCAAGAAAAATAACTAACTAAATCAGAAACGTTGCCACTGAAGAAAACTCTAAATCACATGTATATATAAATAGTCCAAAAAAACAAAGTGAAAGTCCCAGAAATTAAGTTTTTTGGAGACACTTTGAAGAATGAGCACTTCTGGAAAAAAAACATGATTCCGAAAGTTGGAGCATAAATAAATACAGGAAAAATGAAGAGAAGCTGAGGTGAGATAAAAAAAATGTGAAGGGAGACAGATTTTTCCTTTGGCACCTAAGCCGCAGTGGCAGTGCTCTTCTGTGGGTGGAGAAAGATACCAGACGAGGGTAGATGTGCACCCGAGGAGGGGGAAAAAAAAGATATTTCACTAGACACAGTTCATGATCAACAAAAATATCTTCCCTTGCCTGTCATCCTCTACAGGTGATTCATTCTCCAAGCCCTCGTCCTGTCTGTACATCCCCACTTGGCTCCTCCCACATCAGTAACACCTCAGAAAAACATTTACCTGCAAATCTTGCCACTTTTTTCAATCTGAGCCTAAAGAAGTACAGTAGTTCTCTTTTTAGTGATGTGATGAACCTATGATTTCTTGTGTGCGGGAGGTCTTCGGTAAACCTGGAGTGCTTATTGAACACAGGTTTGTCCACGTTCTCCTGCAGCAGTTCCCTAATCACACACGGGAGGACTTCTGCAGGGTTTTTATCTCAGTTTCGTTTCCACTAAAGAAGTTCCTCACAGGTTCGTTTCACAGGCTCAGATCCTCCATCAGGTGTTCCTCTGAGGTTGATTAGTGCAGATCATTCAGTGCAAAGGCCCCCCCCTTCCACCAACACCACCGGTTCAGGATTTGGTTCAGTCCTATAGGTTCTCCCCAGGCTGATACTGAGGTTCTGTGGAGGTGAAGTAGTCCTCTAGGAAACCCTGCAGGTACTCAAAGGTCGGCCTCTCTTCTGGATCCTTACGCCAGCAGGACAGCATGAGCTCATGCATGGAAGTGGGGCACTCTGCCGGGCAAGGCATCCTGTAGCCTCGCTCCACCTGGTCCAGCACCTCGCGGTTAACCATACCTGCAGGGAGAAACAGGAAGTCTGATTTAAGGAAACACACATCCTAACCCTAATGGGATTGAGCTGAGTTATTGACATCAAAACAACATGCTTATCACTATATATATATATATATATATATATATATATATATATATAGTACAGACACTTCTCCTCCCTATCTTATCTCAAGGCTCTGTCTGTCTTTGGGTGTATGCCTCTTCTGCATCTTTTCAGGAAACTGAGAATTATTAAAAATGGATCTAGCCAGTTGGTCTCTCAACGCGATTGACAAATTTTTTTCAACGATGAGAACGGGAGAAGGGGCTCCCGGATGCCCCTCTGGGACAGAGCCAGCTGGGCATATCATGGACTCCTGGAAACAGTGGAACCTGATCTGCCTCTCTCAACTGACTGTAGAAGATTCTGAAGACGTCTGGATATTTGTGGTGTTGGTGTCGGGATTCCTGCTGTTTGGCCTGAGCGGTTACCTGACTTACCGGAAAATTAATGAGCTTTCGAGGACAATTGTCTCAATCCCGGAGCTCAGGGATGGATTACACCGTGCTGTGAACGCACAAACTCATATAATTGTTGAGAAGAGTCGTAAGCTTGGAACTTTGGCTGAGATTCAGATTCTGGCACAGAAGGTGGATTCGATCAAAGAGAGAGTTGATGGGACAGCATGGTTGGGAATAGATTAATTTAAGCCATTATTGGATTTAGAGGGGTTGGAGATCAACAGAACTTTAAGGCAGAGAGGAAATTATCTCTGTCTGGCCCCAAAACAATTTCTTATCTGAACCTGGTGCTCTTGAACCTGTGAGGCTGAAGTGATCACTCCCTCTTAGAAGAAATGTTGCCGTCGCCATGGCAACTCTGTCTCCCTATCATAGCCTGGGCGGGACTGTGACCAGTGAAGGTCATGGAATCGTTTCCAGGAGTCACTGTGCTTTCTAACCCAATTACCTCCCTCACCTGTCCAAACGGAGGTGACAAGCGCTGCTTATCACGGCTGCATGCACTGATGTGAGGAGAGTCCCCAACCCTACCTCCCCACCTAGTGGACACTTATGTTGTGTTATGTCTGAAGTCTGTTGCATTTCTGTCTGAGGTGTTTGTTGCATAGCAAAGCTGCCCTCCCTGTGGAGGGTAACTCTGAAGTGCCTTTTTATTTCCTCCACCTGACTCAATCCTTAAATAAACCCTCGGATCTCTATTAAGGTAGCGCAACTCGGGTTGCGAATGACCACATTCACCAATTCTTGTCATGTGTCTATGCCTATGTATGTATGTATGTCTGATCTCAGAATTGTGTGTACTGAAACTCTAATTTCCCTCTGGGATTAATAAAGAATCTTTGAATTGAATTGAATATATGTAAAATAAACCATTCAGCTGTTTCAGTCAATTTATTGCTTTATGATGTAAAAGAATATTTTCAAGCTTGACTGAAAATGTTGCTGCGCTAACCTGGATAAGGAACTCTTCCTTTAGTTGTCAGCTCTACAAGAACGATACCGAAAGACCAAACGTCCGACTTGATGGTGAAACGGCCGTACAATGCTGCCTCTGGGGCCGTCCATTTGATTGGAAACTTGGCTCCTAGGTAAAAAAACAAAAACAAAACATTCATGATACCACTTTACAACATAGCTTAATTAGGCGAGGCAAGGCAGCTTTATTTAAATAGCACATTTCATACACAGAGGCAATTCAATGAGCTTTCCAGGAGCAAGAACAGCAAGAGCACATAACATTAAAATCAACATGACAACATAAATCAGTAGATTTTAAAATCAGATTTAAATGTACAAATACAATCAGATAGGAGGCATTATCAATTTTTTTCTATTAATCTGCAGCTAAATCATGTGTTTATTATGCATTAAAGTTGTTTAATATTTTTAAAACCCACTTAAATGTGACAAACTAACCCTGTTGTATGATATGAAGAAGGAAATCTTTCATTGTTTACATTTCCCTTAAGCCCCTCCCCTGGCCTCGACAGCAAAACAAATCGTTCACGCAAACCTAGTGTTGACCAACAGAGTTGCATATTCTCAAGAAAGACCTGTCAATCAAGGAAAATGAGATCCGGTTCCCAGCATGCACTGCGGGGTAACGCAGACGTCTTAGTTAGCTTAGCACACCAACCTAGCTTGACAGCTAACTCAACCTGCAGTGACTGAAAGTCAGTCTGTAAATTTCAAGCTATTTGTAAAAGAGGGGGGGGGGGGGGGGGGGGGGAATGAAAACTGATTTGTCTTGTGTGTTTTGGAGCCAATGATTAGCATAGCATTCAAACTTGTGCTACATCTGTCTATTGTTTTAGCCTGCTGTAGAGTTAGCAGGGGTGTGCTAGCATCTTGAGTGCAGGATCCCAGCTGGTTTAAACGTTTCCCTACTTTTGCACTGCTAATATGATCAAAATGAGTGATCAGCAGCTCCTGTAGAAGCTGATGAAGGCTGAGAAGATAATCCAGCAGTTAGAATTACATGACACAGCTACTTGTGTGTGCGGTATGAGTAGGCCCCAACAATCATGGGAATTGTATAAAGCAAACAGTCATGCTGGTCACTTGTGGATCTCTGAGGGAGACCACAGAAACGCTGTAGCACTTTTAGTTGACACTGCTTCACTTTGAGTTGATCAACCGCATTTTTCTCGCCAATAGTTTGCTGGTTGGATGAGGGGAAATTCTGTGGGTTTACCACAACACCTCTTGGTCTAAGATGGGTTGAAATATAACGTGTTGGGTGTGGCATTTCTGAACGAGGACAGCGGAGGCTACTGGGCTTTGCTGTTCAACCACGGTCAACAATATCCTGGGTCAGCTTTTCTAGTTACAATTTCGTTAATAAGCAGGCTGGAGGTGCCTTAACTTTGGAGTCGCTCTACCGTGTTTTTCTTGCTAAAGGAAAAACTCTGTTAGCTTTGGGTTAGCGCATCGCTAATGTCCCGCTGATCTCCGATCGTGGAGCATTAGCTGATGTAAAAGGCCACGGCGCCCAGCTACAATCGCAGCGGTCTGAGGCTCTGCTTGTAATTTAACAGTCCCAGTCCATATTAGATCTCCACAGGTGACCAGCATGACTACAGCCTCACCTGGAAGCCAGGTCCTTCTGGAAGGGGGGAGCAGGGGTGACAAATATAGCAGTTCAAATTTCAAAATAATCTCTGCTTCTGTTTGATGACGCTAGGCTACAGACCCCAGCTTTAATTAAGGGTGAGAAACAGAGAAAACTGACTAGTTTCTAGCCGAATCTTTTCACTTATCTAGAGTTGGTAAATTAAACATTTCAGACATAGTTAATACCCTGTAATCACAATTTCCCTTTTTTAAGCATAGTATTTTAGCATATAATATTTTCACTGCAATGTAAATATCCACAACTATCAAGAGAAGCCTAACTGGGAAGTGGTACCAAACTCTTTAGATCGCACCAACATTTCTCAGCGTGCAAATCGGGTGACTCACCCTGTCTTGCGGTGTACTCGTTGTCTTCGATCAGTCGAGCTAGACCAAAATCAGCTATCTTACACGTCAAGTTGTCTCCCACCAGAATGTTAGCAGCACGCAAGTCTCTGTGGACGTAGTTCATCCGCTCCACGTAGGCCATGCCTGCTGCAATCTGACCGGAGACAAGACACACGTGATTTTACAGATTTCTTTCTGCACAGATAAGGATGCATCTCTCAGAAAATTTAGAGGTTTACCTGAGCACCCATGTCTACCAGCTGTGGCAGACGAAGAAGCTTCCCTGTTTCCCCTTTAATGAAGTCCAGTAAGCTGCCTGTGGACAAAAAGCAACAGGGCAGCATTAATAAAACCTGCAGCAGCACAGAGCCAACGGCTTGCTAATCTAATTAATTAAAAATATTTAATTCTAAGCTTCAAAATGCAAGTATTTGAGTAGTTCTGAATGTACCTTGGCTCATGTACTCGGTCACAATGTAGATGGGGTCATCAGACACCACAGCGTACAGCTGGACCAACTTCTCATGCCTCAGCTTCTTCATGACCTGCGCTTCCTGAAGAAAGGCCTCCGAAGACATCGTGTTGGGTTTTAAGGTCTTAATGGCTACCCGTGTTGTACCATTCCACGTACCTTTCAGAACCCAAACAGGAACAAAATTAACGTCAAGAAACACTGTGCAGCTGCTCACTCCAGTCTAAAATATCAAATATTACCAAAATTGTTCAGGTTAGATTATAATGCCTTTGATATACCGAGTTAGAGAGGTTTTTTTGTGAACAAAACAAATCTAGTGAAGGGTGACGGTTTCGTACCCAACCAGACTTCTGCAAAGCAGCCCTGTCCCAGTTTAACGTCCAAACGTAGAGACTCTCGGGGAATCTCCCAAGCATCCCTGCCCAGTCCCTGTGTCTGAGGTCTGGAAATTGGACACACGTCTGTTAGAGCGTGGCACAGCCCATCAGAGTGCTCTGGAAAAAAAAGATGATGGGGAAATTAAAAAAAAAAAAAGACAAAAGGGCAGCAGTGTAGTGAAAGGTTAAAGCATCAGCACTCACTGCGGTAGTGGAAGACGAGTTGTTGGAGGCTGGAGAACTGGGTGCGGGAGGTGATATAGAAACCTCCACAATCCAGCTTCCTGATCTTGTAATGTTTGACGTTGAGGCCTCTGACGTTATCATAATCCAGCACAGACAGACAGTACGCCCCTATGAGTGAGACAAAACAACAGGCCGAGATATTTTAGACCTTTAAAATGAGCCATGGGGAACAGCTGTTCTGTGGAGTTCCCCCAACAGCTGTGCTTCCAAACTCCAGCTATTCCACCTCGTGTCCACCGACCACTTTGGTTCTGGTTTCTTCAATTCAATTAGACTTAATTATCTTTATTGTCACTGCAGTGTGTGCAGAAGAATTAAACAGCAAACATGAAAAAGCAATAAAGAAATAAAAGAACAATGATACACGTGCAAATATTTCTCCAATCTCTAAAGGAAATTATCATTTTGGCAGCTTTCTGTTCTTTACTCTGTTTGACTTTGTTTTTAAAGTTTTCATTCCCTCAATATTTCTATTCATTTGCTGTGGACTAGAATAAATGCCTTTAGAGTATCTCTGTGGGAAAAGAACACTGGAGCTCCTGTTTCAGGAAGTAGAAGTAAGTTGGGGGGTGGAAAATAGCTGAATTTGGAGTCCACACTGGAGGCAGCAGCGTGGAAGAGGAGCTGAACGTTGCTGCTTCAAATAGAGTCCGTTACTATAGGGTTGATCCAAATTGGCCGCAGCAGGAAACATTTCAGGCGTGACCCAGAAGCAGCTTAGGCCACAATGCTAAAGACAGAATTGGGTTTTATTTTTGTCACGCGCTGCTTCTGGGATGTGTCCATTTCTTCAATTAACATAAGACTAGACAGGAAATACGGTATGGGTGTTAAATGTCCGAGGATTTGTGACACCGTGAGTTCAGCGAGGAGGACAGTGGAGAAGATGCGCTGCGTCTGTGGATTGACACGCTGCGAATCCCGCGAGTAAACCGTCCCACTGATGTTCCACATAGCTGATGCCTCCAGTGTGGACCCGGTGTTAAATCATTCATATTTGTGATATTCTGACATCTCTCCTCTGATTGGCTGACAGCACAGCAACTCTACCACTGACTTCTTTCTCTCTGTAATGTTAATGTTTTGCCATGATGTGGAGGTGCTAATGCTAATGGTTAGCTTCTACTAGCTGAGGCGTGCTCTGTTCTCTCCTGGATCTGTGTGGCTTTCTCTGACCTGTGCGTTTCCTCGTCTATTTTCTATCAGCGGCTAATGCAGGAAACCTGGGTAGAAGGCTATTGTCATGTTCAGCCTGCATGTGAAACTCAAAAATGGTTTCTCAGTGAACTTGCTCTTTAATATTTATAGGATCCATCAGACAGGCTTCCTGTTTGGCTCATTTTTATAAAATTTTTACCTATTAGTTTTTATTCTTCTGTGATATTATTGTATTCATTTTGATTGTTTTTCTGTCATTTTTATTGTCTTGATTCGTTTTGCTGTTCTTGTGCAGCTTTTTGGTTGATGAAAGTTATTTTAAATGCTTTTGATAAATAAAGTTGAGCTGAGTTGATGAAGAAACAACCGGATAATTGATGTGTTTATGTAATCTACAAGAACTCTGGATGAAAATGGTTGCTAATTTGAACTTTTCCAAGTCTTAAAGAGAAAAACAATGGCAGCTAATATGAGGGCTGTCAGGAATTGTAAGACAGTGTTATCTTTTCTCCTTTCTTAAAAGATGCTCAAATGTTGAAGGAGATAAAAAAAGAAAAGGCACAGAACCTACTTTTCAAAGAATATAAGGAGGCTTTTATCAACACAGATATTTCTGGATCACTTCACTCAGACCTTTGACTGCATAAAACAATATCCGTTCTTCAGTACAACACCCCTCTTCCAGTTTAGATCCAGACTTTCTGCGTTCATCTGGAAGGTCTGGATAACTAAAAGCTATCCTATGGCGGGAGGGGGTTTTCTGTGAAGCTCTTCACACTCTGCATGAATACAAGGGCAACATTTAGGGCATCTCATTATCTTTCTCCCCACGTAAGTTAAAGAGGCCAAAAAGCGAAAACGACTAATGTAGGTCAAAGATCCAAGTCATGGGGCATTTCAACACGTAAGCAGCGTGTTCCTGCTCATCTCTGCCTCTACTGTGAACCCGGCGTTTGACAGCTAACGCGGAACCATCGACATACACTCAAACAAAAATATGAACCCAACACCTTTGTTTCTGCTCCGATTTTTCATGAGATGGACTTAAAGATCTAAAATTCATTCCAGATACACAATATTACCATTTCTCTCAAACATTTTTCACAAATCAGTCCAAATGTGTGATAGTGAGCACTTCTGCTTTGCTGAGATAATCCATCCCACCTCACAGGTGTGCCACATCAAGATGCTGATCCGACATCATGAGTAGTGCACAGGTGTACCTTATACTGCCCACAATAAAAGGCCACCCTGGAATGTGCAGTTTTGTCTCACAGCAAAATGCCATAGATGCCACAAGCATTGAGGGAGTGTGCAAATGGCATGCTGACAGCAGGAATGCCAACCAGATCTGTTGCTCATGCATTGAATGTTTATTTCTCCACCATAAGCTGTCTCCAAAGGCGTTTCAGAGAATATGGCAGTGCATCCAACCGGCCTCACAACCACAGACGATGTGTAACCACACTAGCCCAGGACCTCCACATCCAGCAGGTTCACCTCCAAGATCGTCTGAGACCAGCCACTCAGATAGCTGCTGAAACAATTGGTTTGCATAACCAAACAATTTCTGCACAAACTGTCAGAAACCGTCTCAGGGAAGCTCAACTGCATGCTTGTCGTCCTCATCTGGGTGGGTTTAACATGGGAGTCAATGAGGATTTCCTCGCTTCTGACACCAGCCCCCAGCGGATGAGGGTGGAACTGCAATTTATTTAACTTCCGCGTTGGCCTCAATTTCAGACCCGCATTGTGGGGGCTTGCGCGGAACGCACCCAGGGGCCATGAATCCCCCGCTAGAGCTCTTCCCACCCACCATGATCCTAACCCCCCCCCCCCCCCTTTCTCCTTTTCCTTGATTTGCCCCTTCACATTTCTACCATCCCTTCATGCTTTCCTGCAACACTTCTTCTCATGCGCTCGTGTGCATGTGTGTGTGTGTGTGTGTGTGTGTGTGTGTGTGTGTGTGTGTGTGTGTGTGTGTGTGTGTATGTGTGTGTGTGTGTGTGTGTGTGTGTGTGTGTGTGTGTGTGTGTGTGTGTGTGTGTGTGTGTGTGTGACTCTTAGCCAGGGGGAAATCCAGCACCCTTCAAGGCTGACCTAGTTCTGGGTGAGTGATTCACCCCCTACCCATTCACGGGGCCAACCCACTCCTCTAAAAAAGACCCCTTAAAGAGTCCACCTACATCACAAGGGCTCCAAATAACTGAAGAAAAATGCTAAACTCTGCAATAAACTCATAGAAGAAAGCATTAATGTGCCACAGGTCCATGAGAATGCAAACAAACGGCTTCATTACACGGCTGCCTCTCTTTTAAATGTGTTCCCTTTAGAGTTGGCGTAAACTCCAGGGACACACCAGACTCTTTCCACAGATTTTAATGCACAAAATATAAAATTCTCTGCTTTTACTTTCCCTCTTTGCACACAGCAGTACATTTTACAGCATGCACCATGAGGAAAACGTAATGTCAGTAATTGTTAGCTGTTGGTAAGTTACAATAATTAGCAATCATACTCAAAAAGCCAGTCGCAGATGAAACAATGAGTTTCTCTCATTATCGGTTAATTTTCAACACCAGTGACGTTCAAGAGGATGTGTGAACCATTTGGGCGGCACCTTTTACCCCCTCCCCTACAGTTGCTGTTCCCACATGCAGTAAACAGCAGGAGATGCTCGGCTGCAGATGCACTCTCACAGTGTGAAATAATCAGGAAGGGGCTGCAGGGAGCACATGTCTGCAGAATCAAGGAGTTGGTGCAAGATGCAAGAAAGTAGAACCTGGAAATGATTGAATTCCTTTTGAAACATGAAGAATGATGAACTTAGGGTGTTCAAAGGTTTTGTCTGCTCTAAAATGGACAATTAAGACCAAAAATAATGACTTCATGCATCTGTATGAACAGGAACAGAGGGAAGGATAAAGATCAAACTCTAAGGATGGGTGATAATTAGCCACAATAGCCTCAAAAGAGACATGAACAACTATTTTCTCACCTTTAGTGGTCTCACTCTCCCTCACCAGGAAGGTTCCTCGTCTGTTCCTCACATTCAGAAGAAGCCTCTCTGAATCGCGCCGAGTGAGTTTTCCAATAAACCACCTGATAAAAGTGGGCCACAGAGACAAAGATCAGAGAGAAACCGCCGCTGAGCTGCTGAAAAAGCCAGGAGGAGCTGTACACGTGGATGTCAAAAAATACCATCAGTAATCAGTGATTTTTAGCTGCTATGGCACACGTGTCGCACAGAAGAGTTGTGGAAAAACCTTAGGATGTATGGGTAGGTGAGCACAACAAAGCACAGAAGTGACATGAGGGATAATAGAAAAGGTCAAGTACTCTTCTGCTTGGATGGAGTCGGACGGAGCCACGTAGTTGCTGGGGACGTAACCCGTCTCTCCTGTGCTTAGCGAGCGAGCGAGCCACCAGTCCCCTTCCCTGTGAAGGAAGGAGACAAAAGACGGAGCCAGAAAGTTAATGACAAACACAACAAGTCCTAGTAGTATTCACTTCATTATTTCCCAACAAGACATTTATGATGGCTGCATTCCATTTAGATGAGATTCTGGTCCTTAGGTGATCTACAGCAGAACCTAAATGTACAAATGCAAAAGTGGAATGCGGCTCTCAGCAGTACACGTGTCCGTTCCCGTCATGAAATATGCCTACAAATTATTTTAAAAGGTTTAATAAGTCTTTTCTGTAAAACAAATTGATTTAATAATGAGATAAATGGTTTAAAAATAAGAAGAAAAAAACTTTTATGTTTGCTTTAACAGCCACCAACATATGAACAATTCAACATCATGAGTAAATGTATACAACACCAAAGCATGCAACATGTCCAGTTGTCTTTTATTATGCAGCACTAACTGGTTACGTATTAGTGCACGAGGCTCTTTATTACTGTCCCCTGATGAAAACAGCGATATTTGTTAGAATTTGTGTGCGAGTGTTGTCACAGCAACAGGTTGCCAGCACTTGGAGTAAAAAGAAAATCAACCACAGTATCGATCTAGAATTTGTATTTGGGTCAAAAGAAGCTAAACTGTTGTTTTTGTCAAAGCAGTAATCATGCAGGTGCACAAATAGTTTTTGCTGAAACCATAAAAGTGTGAAACATTTGTTTAATCAATACATCTGCAGTGGTCTCTAGTAGGAATGAAGGCCTTTTAAGTCAATCTCAGCATCTGCAGGATGCAAAGTTTGCACAAGAGTTTCACCATCTATTTTCTATCAGAAGCTAATGCAGGAGATAAAGGAGGAGGCTATTTTCATGTTCAGCCTGCATGTTAAACTCAGAGTGACCCATTATAATCAGAAAAACATTAAAACATGTTTTTTCAGTCACCTTTAAAGATTTAAGTTCCAATAAAAGAACATTTATGTTATTTTTATTTATTCCAGAAAACCTACAACGTATTCAGTTAACAGCGTTTAAACTGCCCTTCGGTATTTAACTCAAAGGTTAAAGTGTCAACGTAATTTAACTCAAACCCACAATAACCTCAGCAAGGACATTTAAGAAAGAAACTCAGCTCCCACGCTGAAAATCTCAGAAGCTGAGAAATAAAACATAAGAAGAAAAGATAAAAACAAGTGACCTTTTAACACCAAATTATTTTACATGTGGGGTTTATTGACAGTTTTTTTTTACTAAGAGCTCAATAGATAAATCCATGCATCAGCAAAAGGAAGAGAACAAAAGGTTGCATGGAGTTTTATATGGCATTAGATTTTACTGACCTGAAGCTGTACTTTTTCCTAGAGGAAACCATGAAGCATGAGAAAGGAAAGAGAAAGGGAGAGATAACAGACACAGCAGACACATCAAAACACGGCAAGGAGACACAACAAGGCAGGCAGACAGAGCAGACCAGCTGGATGCTGCCGGACTACACAGAAGGGCCGTTTCAGGTCATCCAATATGAGAACACACAGATCTGGAAAGTTGCACTTAATTCTAAATCATCAAAAGTTTAAATGGAGTTTTGGGTTTAATCAGCCCTTCTGTGTAGCGCCAGGAGAACAGGAACCCAGACTTATGGCAGGACATTATAGAAAGAGCACACACAAAAAAACAAAGAAATAAAGCATCACAGTTCAGGTTTTTAACATGTTTCTTACACTGGAGGGTCTATGTTTTAAATGCATATTACATCTGAACCAGAATTTTTTTATTTAACTCCAGTACACCTCGAAGTGTGCAGCTGAACCCTCAATTGCTAATGGAGGTCACAATTTGTTGCCTACAGTCACATCCCAGTGGGAATATCAAAAATAGTCACTTATTTTTGCAATTGTTTTACGTTATTGTTGATATGGAAATCAAAAATTGAGTCAACTGTCTCACTACATCCCCTAAAATCAGGTTAAAAAACAAATAATCTCTTCAGAAAACCACACAACTTTCAAGACATTTGGTCATTTCGAGATTTTTCAAATCTATTGCTATGGTAGAGAGGAGAGGAGTGACTTCTGATGTTTCTTACGTGTTGTTTATGATCTGCAGCCGTTCGCCTTTGGCAAAGCTCAGATCAGTCGTCGTCCGTGCCTCATAGTCATACAATGCCACAAATGTAGTGACACCTTCTGCAAGAAACCACACACAGAGACATACATCTAACTGTAATTACAGACGCTACAAAGAAATGAAAGGGTTCCTCCCTAACTTCCATAAAAAATATTCAGCTAAGCATTTTATTTTGAACTTTTTCAGTGTTTAATGAAACATATTGATAGATGAAAGGGTTCTGACCAAATGTCCTTGACAGACAGAGACATCACATAAACGATTTTCCATTTTCTGTGCAGATTTCTAAGACTTTATTAAACAAACTTGTTCTCTAAATCTGGAAACTCCCCAGCCAATAGCTGATTGGCTCATTAAATGCATGACAGGAGGTAGTAGAAGAAATGTTCTGCTCCCTGCGTGGAGCAACATTAGCCCGACCATCTGGCTGGTCTAGACAACTTAAACATCAACAAAAAGAGGACACTGCATTACACTAGGCTGCAACTGCAAAAAAAAATAAATAAATAACCTTGACGGCGTGAAGAGGAAACAGCTTTAAAATATGGTTCTGAGTAGATGTGAGTTACTCTGACTCAGTTTGATTTTCTTCATAACATTTGTGATCTTAAATAGAAATCAAGTCCGTAGGCAAAGAATGAGTCAAACTCATCTTAAAGGTGCAATTTGGGAGAATGATATCTTGTGGTCAAATCAGGTTACTGCAGTAAATATTACTCTCTCACTCTCGTTCTGTGAGTTTCGTGGCTGTACCCAGTTAAGGATCAGCACCAGAAGTAGGGTTGTCACGGTAACCGGTATAGCGGTAAACCCCGGTAAAAAAGTTGACAATAAAAATAACCGTCCAGTTTTTAAAAAACTATATTATCTCGGTGGGTTTACCGTGGCCGCGGTTTCGGCGCGATGACCCTTACCAGCCACCGTCGCTTCAGCTGAAGTTCCCGCGGCGCGCACACGCACTTTTTAGTTTGCAACGGCACCAAAACTTTGAAGCTGAAATAATGGCCGAAGGAGGAGACGGCAGCGCCCAGGACATCCATCAGCCCTCAAAGAAGACTAAATCGGAAGTATGGGCATATTTTGGATTTCTGAAAAATGCTGAGGGACAGTTAATAGAAGACGGCTATCCCGTTTGCAGAACGTGCAGGAAACAAGTGTCTGCAGAAGGCAGCAACACTTCAAATCTCATGGCACATCTGCGTGACCATCAGTCACCCACGTCTCTACAGCCAGTGCAAGGTAAGTTAACATTAGCATTTTAGCTTAAATGCATGACGTGAGGACTTTTGGTTGACGGAGAATGCAACGAGTCACTATATACTGCAGCCGCAGCGTCCTCTGCCAGCATTTAAACCGTGTCACGGACACCCTGTTGCTGGATGAAGCATCTTATTTGTTGATGATGAAGAGAAATATACGATTAGTTCCTTGTCATTGATTTGTTTACTTATTCAATGCCATTTATACTTGAACATTTGGATTTGATTACATAGTGTAGTAGTTATTTTAGTAATTTGTTTAAAGTGGCTGTTTATTTTAAATACATATTTTTTTTAAGGTTGACTTCAAGTCAAGTGTGGACTGGAGTTTTAGATTTTCATTTTGATAATGAAGAAAACAAGTATATGAGAAAACAAGTGGTGTTTCTTTGATTTGTTTACATATTGTTTATGTTTCGAATGTTTGGATTTGTATAATTTAAACCTGCACTGACTACTGTAACATGTTCCAGAAAAATAAGCTATTTGTTCCTTTACTTGTGAAGAGTTGCACTTTTGCTAAGGCTTTGTGTTATTTTAGGTTTAATAAACACTGTTAAACCTTTTCAGAACTATTTCAGTTTGTGTAGAACAGGACTATCAATGCTTTCTGAACATATGCAACACCGTTAAAAAAATACCGCGATAATACCGAAAACCGTGATAATTTTGGTCACAATAACCGTGAGGTAAAATTTTCATACCGTGACAACCCTAACCAGAAGATTCTAGACGACAAGTAAAGACGAGTCATACACAGTAAGTCGATTAGTAGATAAATACATTGTCATGTCTGGTGTTTCACGGTAGGGGGCATATATACACATATTATGATAATATTTCACCAGCATTACAGGAAGTGTTGTTTGTCGTCTTGTTGTTAGCGTGTTGTTATAGTTCTGAATGACTCATTAAAGGAAGTAAATCTCCACGACTGACTCATTACTCACTCCACACACACATTTCACTGTAATATTCAGTTGTTGGTAATTGAAAAAGTAACATGAGATATTTTTAGAGCTGATTATTTGGTTCTAATTTACCGTTAGCATTGTTAGCTCAGCATTAGCCTGTACCTGGCCTCACCCGATATTAAGAGTAAAACAAAAAGATGCCGTGGTACAAGAAATAGCTTCTGGGTCACTCCCGTTTACTGGCTTTGGTTCTATAAGCAACTCTGAAGCTTTTTTGCCTGCCGGTGTTGAATTAAAAATGCCAGTGCTGCAGCGTTAGCTCACTGCAGCACTGGCAACCTCACAAACTAAACAGTAACCACTTCCCACTTTCATTGTTTTCATAAGGAGAAAAGTTGGCAACCCCCCAGCTGGCTGACAATGAAATCAGTTTCGGTATAATCTTCCTTCCAACATGATTGAGACATTAGACTGTTTTATGATTAATACACTGTAGAGTTCTTACAAGTTGCACCTTTAATTAAAAAGTTACAAAGTAAAATTCAATAAAACAATCAGTCTTCCACATCATTAAAGGAGGAATACTGGCCTAAAGAGGTAAACCTCAGTTAGCTGAAGTCTCCTCACTCTTTGTAGGCATGCCTCTCTTTATGTCCTACCACAGCATTTCAATTAGGCTGAGATCTAGACTTTGACCCATTAGAACCCCTTGATCCTTCGCTTCAACAGCCCCTCTGTTGTAAATGTGTCCCAGTGTTTAGGGTGATTGTCCCAGTGAATGTATGAGTCTAAGCCAAGATCCTGCTGTAGGACAAACGGCCTTACATTCGACTCTTGAAATTCTTTGGTGAACAAGAGTTCATGCTGATAATGACTCTAGGAAGCCCAGATGCTGAACAGCAAGTCTCCTTCATCATCTGCCCTTCACAGTACTAACAGTGGATATGGGGTATTTGTGCTGATCTGCAAAACTTCATTTTGAACAAAAATCTCCACTTTGATATCTTCAGAAATATTTGCACATTTCTGATTTTTATACTGATGTTGCTTTACCACTCAAAAGATGTAAGCTGTGCTACCATTCTCTTATTTTTTAAAGATAAGATGCTTTATCCTGGCTGCCCCTCCAAACAAGAAGCTTTTGTTTAGTCTTTTTCCAACCACACTTAACTGATTTCAAACTAAAGCCGGGCGTACGCTGTGCAACTTTTTCCACTCGTAGGATTCAGGTCTACCTCAAACCGTACAACGTTCTAGCAGAGCAAAGCTCACGAGTCATGTTCTCACACTGTATGACCCAATGCTCAGATGTGACCTGACTGCTCACACTGAACATGTGGTAGAAGCAGTTTGGTCCTGAAAATGTGCTAAAAAAAATACTGGTTTTTACACAACATGTTGGGAGTTAGTTACTTTGAGTCCGAAAACCCGGAAGACCCGGAAACTACATGTGCGTTAGTCTGATATCTTTCAGGCTTGTCACAGGACACACAAAGGTTTATGGGGTTGGAGAAGGAAGATTAAAGAAAGGAAATAAACTTTGTTTTGGGATCTGTTTTATTTGACATAAACATGGAAAACATGTTTTCTTGAGACTCCTTGCCATTGTGGGTGGAGACAAGTGTAAGATAAAAGGAAACTACGTGTGTTGACACAGAAATGCCTGTGGAGCCGGGTTGGCGCATGCGCTGTGTGAGCAGTTCTGGTTTTTCTGGGTCTCAGTGCTGCTTCAACAGTGCAATACCCTCACGAAGGACGAGCAAAATATCAAACATGTTTGATATTCATGTGACTGCACGGTTGCTGATCAGGAGCTGGTCATGAGGTGCTACTCGCCTCTCATAACCCCCTGTATACTTCACAATGCAAAACTCACCCCAATCTTAAAGATTCTCGCAGGAGAGGAAAATTGGCTCTATACGGTAAAAAAATTGCCTTGTATGTCTGAGATGTGTAAATTCTAGGAAACTCAGCTGAGCATGTGGATGGAAGAGGAGGACAAATTCATAATGTTGCAGAAGCTTGAAGGCGGGAAAGTAATAGAGTGACACAGTGATTGAAAGGGAGCCATAGAGCTTCTGTGGGACAAGTGTGATATGATTGAAGAAGGGGGTTCTGGAAATGCTTCAGGACAGCCAAGTTTTGAGTTTGTGGCTGGACTTGTCAGGTGGACCAAAAAGAAGGGAGATACAATAATCAAGATGCAATGTAATCAGAGTATGGATCAGTAAAGCAATGGGTATAGGACAGGTAGTACAAGTATGGAGGACAGGTACAGTGCTCAGCATAAATGAGTACACCCCACTACATTTGTCAGACAACCTTTAGTTTCCTTTCAGAATCAACATTTTTTATGAGATACCATATACAATTTCTTCTCTAAAAATTAGCATATTGTGATAAAGTTAATTATTTTCTGTAATGTACTGCTAAACATTAGACTTTCATATATATTAGATTCATTACACAACTGAAGTAGTTTGAGCCCTTTATTGTTTTTAATATTGATGATTTTGGCATACAGCTCATGAAAACCCCAAATTCCTATCTCAAAAAATTAGCATATTTTATCCAACTGATAAAAGAAAAGTGTTTTAATACAAAAAAATTCAACCTTCAAATAATTATGTTCAGTTATGCACTCAATACTTGGTTGGGAATCCTTTTGCAGAAATGACTGCTTCAATGCCGCGTGGCATGGAGACAATCAGCCTGTGGCACTGCTGAGGTGTTATGGAGGCCCAGGATGCTTCGATAGCGGCCTTAAGCTCATCCAGAGTGTTGGGTCTTGCGTCTCTCAACTTTCTCTTCACAATATCCCACAGATTCTCTATGGGGTCCAGGTCAGGAGAGTTGGCAGGCCAATTGAGCACAGTAATACTATGGTCAGTAAACCATTTACCAGTGGTTTTGGCACTGTGAGCAGGTGCCAGGTCATGCTGAAAAATGAAATCTTCATCTCCATAAAGCTTTTCAGCAGATGGAAGCATGAAGTGCTCCAAAATCTCCTGATAGCTAGCTGCATTGACCCTGCCCTTGATAAAACACAGTGGACCAACACTAGCAGCTGACATGGCACCCCAGACCATCACTGGCTGTGGGTACTTGACACTGGACATCAGGCATTTTGGCATTTCCCTCTGCCCAGTCTTCCTCCAGACTCTGGCACCTTGATTTCCGAATGACATGCAAAATTTGCTTTCATCCGAAAAAAGTACTTTGGACCACTGAGCAACAGTACAGTGCTGCTTCTCTGTAGCCCAGGTCAGGCGCTTCTGCCGCGGTTTCTGGTTCAAAAGTGGCTTGACCTGGGGAATGTGGCACCTGTAGCCCATTTCCTGCACACACCTGTACACGGTGGCTCTGGATGTTTTACTCCAGACTCAGTACACTGCATCTGCAGGTCCCCCAAGGTCTGGAATCGGTCCTTCTTCACAGTCTTCCTAATGGTCCGGTCACCTCTTCTCATTATGCAGCGTTTTCTGCCACACTTTTTCCTTCCCACAGACTTCCCTCTGAGGTGCCTTGATACAGCACTCTGGGAACAGCCTATTCGTTCAGAAATTTCTTTTTGTGTCTTACCCTCTTGCTTGAGGGTGTCAATGATGGCCTTCTGGACAGCAGTCAGGTCGGCAGTCTTACCCATGATTGCGGTTTTGAGTAATGAACCAGGCTGGGAGTTTTTAAAAGCCTCAAGAAACTTTTGCAGGTGTTTAGAGTTAATTAGTTGTTTCAGAGGATTAGGTTAATAGCTCGTTTAGAGAACCTTTTCATGATATGCTAATTTTTTTAGATAGGAATTTTGGGTTTTCGTGAGCTGTATGCCAAAATCATCAATATTAGAAACAATAAAAGGCTTGAACTACTTCAGTTGTATGTAATGAATCTAATATATATGAAAGTCTAATGTTTATCAGTACATTACAGAAAATAATGAACTTTATCACAATATGCTAATTTTTTTAGAAGGACCTGTAGCACTCCCGCAAATGTGGGCCATTGATTGCAAATAAGATTTGTCCATTTCCACACACAAAAAAGGGATTTTGCTAACAAATCCATTCCAGCCCATGTTGCAAAAATGAGTACACCCCAATTATAGTCTTAGGAAAAAAGCCACACTTAAGACTACAAAATTCTAATGAACAGGCATTCAACCACAGGTGAGTCTAATGATTCATTTAAGAGGTGTCCAGCAGACAGGTGACTATCTAAATGCATTACCTAGCAAAGAAAAGCTGTTCCCATTTCATACTGTCAGCAATGGTGCCACATGGAAGAGAAATAACAAAATCTGAGAAAGAAATCATTTCTTTACACAAAAAAGGTGAAGGCTACAAGAAGATCAGCAAAGCTTTACATATCAATCAAAATACTGTAGCAAAATGATCCAAAGTTTAAGAAAGATGGAAGAGCAACCATCTTACAGAGACGTCCAGGCCATCTATACAAGTTAACACTTCGACAGGAGCATCTTCTGATAAGAAGGGTTGAAGAAAATCGCCATGCAAGTTCACTACAGTTAGCTATAGCAGACCGTTTCCTGTGACACCATACGGCGCACACTGCAGAGGAATGGCATGCATGGGTATTGTCCACGAAGGAAGCTCCTCCTAAAGCCCATGCACAAAAAAACACTCCAAGTATTTGCTAGGGCCCATGCTGAAAAAGATTGACTACTGGGACTCCAGACTCTGGAGTGATGAGACAAAGATCAGTTTTTGGAACTAATGGTTTCAAAACTGTGTGCTGTTGTAAAGGTGAGGATTTCAAAGAGAAATGCATGGTGCCTACAGTGAAACACGGTGGTGGCAGTGTCCTTATGTGGGGCTGCATGAGTGCTGCTGGTGTTGGGGTTCTGGTATCATGAACTCAACAATGTACTACTCTATTCTGAAGGAGAAGATGCTGCAATCACTTTTCCAACACGACAATGAACCAAAACACACATCTAAAGCTACTGTTGCATTTCTGAAGAAGAACAGGGTGAAGGTGCTTGAATGGCCAAGTATGTCTCCTGATCTGAACCCAATCAAACACCTGTGGAGAATTCTGAAGCAGCAAGTTGAGCCTCAATCTCCATCCAGCATCCAGGCTCTAAACGAGGTTATTCTTGAAGAATAGAAAACGACAGATGTTGCAATATGTCGCCAACTTGTTCATTCCATGCCTAGAAGACTGTCCTTGAAAATCATGGTGGTGTTACAAAATACTAGATGTAGTAGATTTTGTTGGGGGTGTATTCACTTTTTGCTTCAACCAATTTTAGTAAAACAAGATTGTGTGATCTATGTTATATTATAAAGCTTCATTTCATTTTAAGGAGTTAGACAAGCGTTCAATAAATCCCAGCCAAAATTCTGGAAATGGTTCTTTTGTTCATTAAGCAACTAATTAAATTCATACTTTTTAAAAGGGGGTGTACTCATTTATGCTGAGCACTGTAGATCTGAGTGTCCTCTATGCTACATCTATGTTGGTACTGAATGTCATCTTTATGGAAAATATTGTCAATTTAAGGAAGAGGTAGATGATAAACAGGAGAGATCCAAGTACAGAGGCAGGGGGAACACCAGAATTAAGGGGAGGATGGTTGAGGTGTAAAGCTTTAATCTGAACCAAAAATAATTTAATTTATGCCTGTCTGCCTGTATCTGTCCTGTCTATATATGTGTGTGTAACCTTGGTCAGGTTGTACTATGGAGTCAAGTTCCTATGCTCTGATCTGATCTGAGCGCTGGCAATAAAATTCATTCTGATTCTGATTCTGATTATATCTGAAATGTATTTTTAACTAAATATAGATCATTTTTTACAGAAGAATTCTGTATGTTTTAATTTAACCATTTATTAGGTCTATATTCAGCTTTCTAAACCTCTTTGTTTTACGAAAACCTGCCACAATCTAATTTCCTACCCGACAGCAGTCCTCTGTAGGGTGATATGACACTTCCCGTGTGGTCCACTCCTCCAAAGAGAGACAGTTCAGGGGTATTTGTCGGGGCAAGCTGGCGCTGCCCTTGTTGTCCCCGACGGCCCGTCCCAACAGCAGGGCTTCGATTGGGGGTCTGGGTCTGCTGAGTGGAGTCCAAGTGGTGGAAGCGTCCGCTATCGGAGCCAGTGCCTATGGTCCCGTCCAGGCTCATGGAGCGCTGGCCTGGCTCCTTGGGCTTGCTTTTGCCCGCCCCCATGTGCAGACCTGGAACAAGAGCCAACCATCAGAAAGGATACGGTAAGACCAAAAGCTGCTACAAAAAGTAAAAGCGTCAAAAATCAATTTTTATGCAATTGAAGGGTCTCTCAGCTTTGTTATGCATTTTTCTTTCATTTTAAATGTGTTTTTTTTATAAGAAACACATTTTTTTGTGTTTCATCATGTAATGAAACACAAAAACATTCAGTAAAACTGGATTTCACTGTGGTTAAAATTATTAGTCTTCTTTAAAGCAAAGAAATATGGTTTTAAAGGATTTTCCTCAGGAACTTTTAACATATTTACCCCCCCCCCCCCCCCCCCCAAAAAGTTGGCAAATCAGTCAACACATTTATTCCAGCTCTCCCGATCCACCAGAATATCCCTGGAGCTGTTCCCAGGTCAGTTAGAACTGCTTGCGTTTACAGTAGACACAAACCACACACACAATCAGAATCCAAGGTCGTGCTTAACGGTTTAAATCAAGTTGGAATCAATAAGCATCAACGAGGTAAACAAAGCTGTAAACAGAAAGCAGCCATGGGTCTCAACGACGCAAAGTATTAATGCTGGTGAGCCGACAAGGGCACAGAGGTGTCAAATATATCTGTTACATCCCGATAAACGCAGCGAGTCGAGGGTGTGCTGTCAGTAAGCACAAAGACAAACAAGCTCACAGTCAAGAGCACCCACAGAAAGTTGGAGAGCCTTGTTCGCACACCGGTTCTGTTCCTCCCCTTCAGGCTCTGTGGAGTGACTCACTGGGAGACCAGCTATTTCGGGCCAGCTGAAACAAGACAGTCATACACACATGAAACACAGTCTTGTTCCTCTGAATTAAAGCACTCTCGATTCCAGACAAGAGCGCGCCAAAGTGCATAGGGGTGGGTGTGTGTGTTCATGTGCATTAGCAGCTGTTCCCTCGCATCTAGGAAACTAGGCTCAGCTGCACACTAGCACCCAAGTACAGTTGTGTCTCACATCCTTTTTTCCTTTCCAACACTTGATAGTTTCCAACACACACCGACAGACAGACAGACAGGACAGGGGAGGTTATTAACAGACACGGAGGAAGGAAACTGGCTGTGGCTTTAAAAAGAACGTGTGGGTGGTTGTTATGTACTGCCCGGACAGCTGAGGCTTAGTGGGTGTTTAAAGTGTGATGTGTGAGCATAACATAATTACACAGGTATGGGAATTCTCAGAGACATGGCAGCATCCCACTGAGAAGACATGTGGGCGACTCAGCTTCTGAGGGAGCGTGAATGTGCACAAATGTCAACGTGGGGGTGGGGGTCAGGGGTCAGCTTTCGCATTAGGCATTAAGAACTAAGTCAACACTATTAAGAACTAAGTCAACACTGGTTTAAAACTTACCAGAGGCACACGTGCCACACCTAGACTGCCAATACAAGCAAATAGGTAGGATGCTCATGCATATCAGGAATGTATGCAAAAATCCTCTTAAAGGTCATTTCAGGCTGTGTATGAGCGCAGGGCTAGATAATAGCACCTCATACAGAGAGCTAAGAAAGTAGGAAAAATACTATGATTTAGACTGATTACTATGTTGCTTCATCAGTATGCGTCTGCACTGTCAGTGGGTGGTGCCTACCTAAAGTGAGCTCACTTTAAAGGGCCTAAACACAAAAAACATGAAAGGATCAAGAACAGAAGAGAAATTCTCAGCAGATACAGATGTTGCAACATCTAGTGGGACATGAGAAGCAACAACAAGTTCTTCCAAGGCTGTAAATAACCTCTGATGACAAAAGAACATGTTTGCTTTTACATCCATGTTCACCTGAAAGCCTGCGTGCAAATGAGCTCCTAAACATGACACATGAGTCACCGTTTACTCAAGCATGACAACCACTCAGATTGATCTGGAAACAGGCAAGGATACATTCCTGAAATGTTTTTTCCCAGTATGCATCAAAGCCAAACTGGATGATCTAGATGAGGGGTGGAACGGCAGCAGGGTGAGAGCTCAAGCTAGCTTGGGCTAGAAACAGACACATTAAACTGACCCAGGGGTCTCTAACCAGCGGCTCTGGAGCCACAAGTGGCTCTCTGGACCTTCCATAATGGTTCTTAATAACTATGACTACAAATGAGAGAAATACAACTGACCCATGTTCATAAAAACAATTTTAAAAAATGCAGACTTAAGTTGTTTTCAGTTTTTTTTATGGAATTGAAGTTCCACAGCAACAGCACTAAAAATACCAGAAGTATTTTTATATCTGTGTTTTATTTGTTTCATTTCCAACAAATCTCAACATGCCATGAAAAAAAATATCCAAACTCCTTTTGCAAAAGTGTTTGTTTCAAGAAATGATCTCTAGAGTAGACACTAGCAGAAGAGAAACAAAGATCTCAGACTTTATTCTCAGAAAAACCTCAGAATCCTGACTTCTGAACTATTATGTTTGTTGATCACTTTGTCTTAGAGCTTGAATAAGATAAGCAGAAAAATTAAAAGGCTGCATTGATGCTGGACACGTTGTGAATTTTGGTTCATTTTTTTTTCTCTTAGCTTTACAACCATGGTGCTCCTAACTATGGATGGAGGGAAACAAAAAAAAAGGGAGTAAAACCATCTACATAAATATATGGACAATGGGTTTCCATAGGCTTCAATAACAAGTTTTTCTGCTAAAATGGGAGGTGGCCACCACCGCCATTTTGACTGTGTCAAAGGTTCCGTCAAGCCCAGACAATTCCATAAAAGGGAAGAGAGGAGGAGCTGAGGGTGACGTTTAGACAGATGTTTGTGCAACTTAAGAAAGACAAAAGAAGCTACTGCTCATCTGTACTCCGTTTGGAGACAGACTTCCAGTTTGTAAACAGCAGCATTAGAAGCCCTAGGCTACGACTTCTGTTGAGTGCCGATTTGGTACATTTGTTTTTGTTTTGCCGCTGCGATCTGAGATGCGCAGAGCTGCCGCTGGGGAGAACCGGGTGCAAAGGTTACCATCTCAGAGCTCCACAAGCCGGCAGCCCGCGCAGCAGACAGAAGCCGCGATCAGACAGAGATGTGCCGAGCTGCGGGGAGAAGTGGCGTATTTTGGCGGTTCTGGCTTGCCATAAGAACCAGCCGTCAGCCCGCGCAGCTAACAGAAGCCGCGATCAGACAGAGATGGACCGGGCTGTGGGGAAGGGATAAGGGTGGAAAACATCGGTCTCCCAAGAGCTCCACAAGCCGATAGTCGGAGCCCAGCTCCACCAACATGTTATATTTCAACCCATTTTCTAAAGTGCAGCATTATGTTAAATGCACTGGGTTTTACCCTATTACATTTAAATTTCATGGTTAAACAGTACATGTTAAAATCTAAGCTCAGCTCGGCAGCGACCTAAAATGCATAAATATAATTTTACTTACCGAAAAAAATGAAGTGGAGACTCCTTGGACGCTCTTTTAGTGCAATTAATGCCACAGCAAGTCATTTTGTCCAACAATTGCACTAAAAATATCCAAAAAAGAATACACAAACACAGAGACTCAAAATCCCGGAACAGTTTCCAAGCCAGACGGAGGCTCTACTGAGGCCTTTCCACGGAGCTAGCTCTATGGTCACGTGTGTCGGATGCTCAATTATACACAATTTTAGGCTTTTAATACACTTAAACAGAAGAGTGAGAAAAAATTCACCCCCCTCATAGTTGTCATGAGTGTAAACTAGATAATTTAAACCAAAAACATGTTTTGGTACCAGGCTGTAAACATGTTTATTTCTGCTGTGAAAATGGTATTTTTAACATGGGAGTCAATGAGGATTTGCTTGTTTCTGACATCAGCCCCCAGCGGATGAGGGTGGAACTGCAATTTATTTCACTTCCGGGTTGGACTCAATTTCAGAGCTGCATTGTGGGGGCCTGAGTAAAACACAATTTAGGTAAAATTTGTAAAAAAAAAATCCCATTATTAGTGTTGTTTCATGGCTCGAGCAACTCGAGAGAACTGATGGTTACAAACCAACTAGAATTTGGGAAAACACTGGAATATATCTTCTCCTTAAGCAACGAGGTGCAACAAGCTGAAATAAACAGATTCTGATTCACAAACCTAAGCAGGAAACTTTGATAATCACTATGTTCAAGCTGGTGATGAAGACTCTAGGACGATGACGATACAGCGTGCACTGGTTCAATTATTTACTCTGGTTCTTTCCCAGATGCTGCATTCATCTGAGATGAATGTCTCAGCACCAACATGTTTAGACAGACCTGAAAGCCTCACACCTTTTCCTAATATGGAGTCAGAGAGGTGTAATGCCAATGTGAGCTAACTCCAGCGTTTCGTTGTGAAATGAGTGATGATGGTGATGTTTTAGCACTGGAAAGAGTAAACACATGAGGTAAATAGTAACATAAAAGCACAGTCTTTTAAATGAGGTTTAAAGGTGTGTGACACTCATTTAAGCAATGCATTCGCAGTGGTCACTAGTAGGAATGAATGCCTTGCAAGTTGTACTCTGGGAGGGAAACTAACTAACTAACTAGCAGAATGCCACATCAGAGGAAAACTTAACACAGCAGGATTTGGTGTCTTATTTCCTGACATTCGTACATCTCGCCTCTGATTGGATAACAGCAATGCGACTCTACCACTGTTTGCTCTGCGGCACGGATGTCTCATCTCCACCAATAACACAAGCCTGAAGGAGTTCTGCAATGTGGTGGAGTTGGTTTTGCTAACGATTAGCAGAGACATAAATGCTTAAATTGCAACCTTCCCCGTCGTGAGTCAAGATGGGTGAGTCCATGAATGTTAAGTGACAGTGTGAAGTTGATCTGTCAGAATTTTCTCTGTCTACTTTCTATCAGAAGTGAATGCAGGAGACTGGTGTAGGAGACTATTTTCATGTTCAGCCTGTTTGTTAAACTCAGAGTGACCGATTATGATCAGAAATAATCATTAAAAAATGTTTTTTATTGTGACACGCCTTTAAAAAGATGGAAAATAATAAAATAAAATAAGTTTTGGTTTCTGTGTTGAT